TTGCGAAGAAATTTTAAAAGAGTTACGCTTCAACGTGATAAAGAATTTATTGAGTCTATTTTTATTCATGGTTTTATAACGATGTGTAACCTTAACAAATGTTTGATACGCTCGGCATTTTGAGTACTCCTGCAAGCGATGTTTATGAATGGCTGAAAACAAACGGCAAAGCGATGAAAATTACACTTTTGAGACTACCAACAATCAATAAAGAAATATAATTCGGTGGAACATTTACAGAGACAAAAATTTTCATTCACGAAAACAAATGAGTATTTAAGTGTCTCTAAGAATCCTCAAGTCTTTACTAGTAAGCTTAAAGATTAAGTTTATGTTTTAAGCCGCCAGTTTCCCGGGCCCTTTTTGCTGTTTTCAAAGATGAACTCAGGGCAAGAAAATCACTCAAAGCTTTCTTTCTACAGCCAAAATTATAACTAAATATTCTTCGGAAAGTCTTTTCTTTCTATTTACGGTGAATTAATATCGACTAAAGGCTTTTTAGGGACGGACCATTAGAAAACTTATGGGGGGGGGAGGGGAATTTTCGAGCCGCAGGAATTTTTTTTTGTTATCAAATTCCTTGTATGAATTTTTTTTAGGCCATAGCATGAATATTTCTTTAGGATTTATTGGCGTGCATGATTTTTTTTTCATTTAATTTTCCCTTGCGCGAATATTTTTTTTGTACTTCGCCCGCCCCCCCCATAAGTTTTCTAATGGTCCGTCCCTTAGAGTTCTGTAAGCTTAAGCTTATATCAAACCTCATAGTAGGTCAGATCAGTGTCTCAGTCAAATCTTAATACAAACGTGCATAAACTAGCTTCATAAACTGTGCCGCTGGACTTCATGAAATTAGATATAAATACAATAATTTCTCAGGCTTACCATATTTCGAGATGCAGCTCCTGAAAGCTATCAAGTAAGGCAAGGATCGCTTGAGCCTTTATAATTCTCGTACGCATCCAGCAAGGTGAAAAACAAAAACGATGCCATCCGAAATCGGATTATCGGCTTTGACAAGCGACGAGAACAGCTGTATTTCTTTTTGTACATCCAGTGGAAAAAGACAGTTAAAAACATCACAAGTTGACTCAAAACTCTGTCAGCTTCAGCTGTCAAAGTAAACAACTTTCAAGATGCTGCATAAATTTTACGCATGAACTCACCCGTCAAATTTTAACCAATCAGAGCATAAACATTGGACGTGGAGCGTGACCAACACGTGACCATGGTAAAAAAAGGTCTTCCCAGCCTGTATCTCAAAAAAACTGGCTGAATTTTTGCGTCTGAGGTCAGTTTGAAATCAAAATCGTAATAGTGCGGGGCGATACTGACATAAACACAACATATTTGATATGAATTTAAAAAAAAAGTAAACATTTGAAAATCATCTGCAATCATTTGAAAACGAATAAATTGTCAGCGGATAACTTCAAAAAAATACTCGACCTTGGTGGGTTGACACCTGAGCCCGCGATACAGTCAGGTGATACTGGTCAGCAGATACCCTGTTTTGACAGCTGTCAATTGATGACAACATTGATGTGCAATCAGCTTCCTCCTGGGCTCCCAAAGTAGCTAGAAAGTGTGAGAGTAAACATTGGTATGCCTGTGGTGCGGACGGACGGTCGCTCGGTCGGTCGGTCACGTGATTACCAAATTTTCTGGAAAGGGTAGATTACCTTAGCTATGGGGCTCCGCCCACGCACGCGCTTCGCGCGCGCGTGGAGCTCCGCTATGACATGCATAATCAACATACCATAAAATTCCGAAAATAAGCCCCGAGGCTTACATTTTTCAAAGGCCCTTTTTGAGGGGCTTATATTTGGAGGGTTTTATATTCGTAAGGGCTTATCTATGGAGGGAAATTTGCGTTTTAAAATCGATTGGGCTAGCCTTATAGTTAAAGGAAATTGACCGCTTTTGCTTTGTTTTAGTTTGCATTTGAGGGCAATTTCCAAATACAAGCCGTCGGGGTCCTTATATACAGAGGAGCGATTTAACGAAGGTTTTTTTGCGTTACGAGGGGGGCTTATATTTGGAGGGGCTTATTTTAGGAATTGTCATTTTTTTGCTAAAATATTTATCTAATTAAAGAAATATTTCTGCCCAGGCCTTGTCTCGTTAACTTTAATTGCGATGTATTACAACCATATGCAATGAGTACAAAACAGATTATCTGCAAGGTCTGTCTATGTAATCTGATCATAAGTGTTGTCGTTCAGCATGATTAAAAGTAAAACTATCATTCCTTTGAGGCCGTCAAACTTCTTGTTAACAAATGGATAAACAGATCCAAGCTTTTACCAATTAACAGTGTTCATTGGTGAAAGTTTGGATCTCAATTTTGTTTTTTAAACAGTAGGGCCACACTATAAATGATATTTTTTCTTCTGCTCATGTGGTTTGGGTAAAAACTATCTATGTGATAGCAAACAATAGTATACATTGTGTTCAACAGGATTCATTAGCAAGGCTGAGCACTCTGAGGATTACAACT